GGGTCCTTAGCATACTCAAACCCCCTCACCACGATAAGGCGGAGACACCAACGAGGGAAATATGCGCCATTAATACATAGAAATCTTCTATTTTTTCTGTATCGTGTATGTCAAAGGCGGAATAGTCTTGGGCCCATCAAACATATGGATGGCAGGTATGGAACTCACACAGGGTGTTGAATCAACGCGCAGTTCCGCGCTGTCATAGAATCTCACGATGCTATGGTCCACCATCCAAAGTTATATTGCCTTTCTCTGTAGGATTTTTTTTAAATGACCTCCCCAACACAAAAGAAAAATATTTACGCGTAGCCCTTAAAGGTGAGTCGAAGTGTTTATACGCAGGGATCGAAAAAGTTTTGAAAATCGGTTAAGATAAAATTTGAGGTTTTCGCTGCGGTGACTGTGAAGAATGCCGTCTTCTGGGATGTGGCGCCGTGTATATATTGTGTAAACCGACATTTTGGAGGAACGTATCGCCTCCATCTTCACGGTATAAAAATCCGCGAGCGAGACAGCAGGTATCTGCTCACTCTGGTTCCTCTCGCCGATTTTTATACCCTGAAGATGGAGGCAATACGTTCTTCCGAAACGTCTGTTTACACAATATCTACATGGCGAAAGTTGTCCCTGTGCTTAATTAATTAAGCACCACGTCAGGAAGACTTATGGGGGAGTGGCGGTATAGTTCCATCATTCTTGACCTCGCCAATAGATGTAGGTGAACAGTCAGCTTCACGTCCCGGCCGTTTTACCCTCGGGGAAAGTGCCACCGGTACCTTCTGTATAAAAGGTTGGGTGGGCCCAAGAGCTGGTCTGCAGGCGGTGGAATAGAGAAAAATCTTTCCCCTGCCGGGAATTGAACCTTGCATTCCATTCCATAGCTGAACAGGTATTCTGGTCTCCAGAAAGCAGTGGATCAGTATTCCCTGGCACCTTGTGACGAGCAGACGCTTAGCACGCGAGATCAGTTTTTTTGCCGTTGTACTGTTTGCCTTTAACACTTGCAGCCCAGGCGCAAGATAATGCCAAAGAAATCAGATTAAAACGTGATTAATTGTTACGACTTACTGTGTTGATCTTAACGTCTTTAGATGTGCTTCTCCATTTCCTCTGTGTAGTGAGTGAGTGGTCGATTGGCGTTGCTAGAACTCCAAAAACCAGCTCCCGAATACCGACTGATAAATTAGTCACCAATCAAATTTTCGTCCGCCATTAGCGACCAGGTGACCGGCTCTGTGGTCTAGTGGTCAGAGTTCCTTGCTACAGATCCAGAAGTCCGGGTTCGATTCCCGGCGCTATTAGATTTTCTGAGAAGTAGAGGGTCTGGAACGGGTTCCACTCAACCTCGTGAGGATAATTGAGGAGTTATTTCAAGGAAATAGCGGCTCCTGTCCAGAAAACCGAGATTAACGGCCGTGGGGATCCTTTGCGCTGACCACGCGACATCCTCGATCAGCTAAAGTTGGCATTAACTTCGCCGACAAGCGGCGGTCGCTCGGTCGGTATAGTTCGCTTGCGGCCTACAGGCCACGGATTTTTTTGTTTTGTTTTTACTAGCGACCAGGTGACTTTTCTGTTATTATTTTCAGTCCATGCATATCATAATACATAAGGCAATAAAATGTACATTGTTACATGAAGTTTCATCGTGATCGAAAATTAAGTTCATCCTGCATGTTTCGACAACATACAGGTCTAGGCGCATTTACCATTTTGTGAAATTATTTTTTTACCTATGTTGAAAGTTTGGGTAATGCTGTATTTCTGTTGTTTTATTACCCAGATTTATCATTAACAATACAGCGGCGTTGCCAGATTTCAGCATTCTTGCACTTCCGTTACTACCATAGTAGTACTATGGCTAGCTGGCTCATGTATGGAGCATAGTTCTTTAGAAGCCAACAGTCGCTCAACTAGTCACGAAATTTTTATGGAACCCGAAGAAGTTTCTTTATCGTGTTCACAAGAGCTAACCACTGGTCCCCATACATAGCTCTCTGAATGAAGTCCATACTCTAGTATCCCATTTCTTTAAGATCCATTTTAATATTATCTTCTCATCTGTTCTTAGGTCTCCCATGCGGTCTCTTCCTTTTAGGGTTTCCTATCAAAATTTTGTATTATTTTCCTCTTCCTTTGACCTAGTGGACCTTCCAGGGTTTCCCAGTTCAGAATTACGCAGAAACTACGAATCTTACGTGCAGTTGGTAGGACTCCTTGGACGGGGATCAGCCTGTCACAAGGCCATTACCTACACAGGACAACACAAACAGAGAAAAGCATTGGTGCTTCGGATGGTATTCGAACCCATGAGCCCAGTGTTCGAACGGGCAAATATTTCGTACCTCAGATCGAAGGTCACTGATCGGTTACGTTATTCTCTTGAAATAAAAATTAAGTGTGCTGGAATAGATAGGCAGTAATATGTGTACGAAATCTTTGTTGTGGACTGTATCCATGTTAGTTCGTTTCAGAACAAACTATACAATTTGAGATCAACAGCAAATATTTAATTTTCATCGAAGAATCCAGTTTGCATAGAAGCATTGCGTAGCGGGTCTACACCCTGTGACGGTTAATGCAGTCGCGGCCAAAAATAGATTCCAGTGCAGTCGTATTTTTTCAAGACAACTTCAGCATTTAGATCAATACAGAACCGGTCAATAAAAGTGTCCACCTTTTGGTCCCGTCACTGATTAAGCTACTTATGTACCATGTATTGTCATTTGCTTCTTATTGTCCATTGTAATTCAGTCTCTTTTTGAAGTCACTTTACTACTAATCACTTTTAAAGACAAAGGACTGACACTTCAGGGCACTGTAGGCCTTAGCCTTCGTGTGTAGCTTCAGCCCATCCTAACTTTCAGCACTAGAGAGAGGCAGTGGTCAGCTTCTGGGCGCACCTCCTGGGGCGAGAGCCCGTGCTATCCATTGGATTGGAGGCTGGGTTGACCCCAGAACCCATCTGGACACAGGGAAGGAAAAGAGACTCTTCGCCTTGCCGGCGATCGAATCCGGATCGTCGAGCCCACAGCCTAGTCATTATGCAGACAAAATTTCCGTGTCACTGATGACTTGTACGATCATAAAACCTAAGAAGGTAGTACAAGATATAAAAGCGTTTGTAGTCTGGCCTGTTCCAGCTCAGAATTAATTTTGAAACAATCTATTTAGACGCCCTCTGAATGGAAGATTAATCCATTTCAGGGCCTGTAAGAGACGCCGCCGGTCACGGTAGCTGAGCAGTCTAAGGCATGCACTGTCTTCGCTCATTTGGAAGCCTGCATCGTGGGTTCGAGTCCCACGCAAGGCATGGATGTTTGGTGTGTATGCGCGTTTATTCTGTGTTTGTATAGTCCTGTGTTTAGGTAGAGGCCTTGTGACGAGCTGATCACCCGTCAAAGGAGACCTACTGTTTGTAAAAATGTTCAGTGAAACTGAGAAATCAGCCCTATGCCCCAAAGTGGGAGCAAGAGGAGAAACAAATTAGACACCCCGAAAAATGGTGGAAGACATCGGAATTCGAATGCAAAGTCATAGAATGCTGGCTATCTAAACATTTGGATGCTCAATTGGGTTTCTGTCGAGCTGTATGGGAGACAGTTTTTCTATGCAGCAATGAAGTACTGATTGGTGCATAGGAGACTTTTAAACATGTGTTTTATTTATGATTTAACCTAAAATAGGTGTGCTATGGTGTGCCTTTCCCAGACTAGGGTGTGCTGCGTGCAGTGAAAGGTTGGGGAGCATATGCTTTCATAGTATCCCACCATACAGATTGTTACATTTTCCTATAACATTGCCGTAATAAAGACTGCATACCATTTCAGTTATCTATCAACATAACAAAATTAACCATCCTTGTGGGAGCTGGGGTAGCTCATTTAGTGTACCTATTAACTACAGGCTGGACAAGCGATTCCAGGCAGGGGCAAGAGATTGTTTCTTCACAGTGTTCAGACTGGCTGGCCGTTGTACCCGGCCTTCTGTGCAGGGGATGCCAAGGTTTCTTGCTCTGGAAGTAAAAGTGTTGTGGCGTGAAGTTGATCACCCAGATCCATCTAATGCTGAAGTTAAGAATAGTGGAGCCATACTTCCACTCCCCCCAGCATTTTAGCTTGGTACTTCCTTAAGCACAAGGACAGCTTTACCTTAATTTTTACATTGAATGACACTAGTTTTGCCCTGATGTCACATCTTGTATGTTCACCATGATGGGAAAACAACCAAGATGAGATTGCTTCCAGTGACATGGCATTCAAACCCAGTTTCACGCATGTTTTTCGCAATTTTCATTGTTTCATAATCTGAAGTCTGTTAGGTGACAAGAGGGGAGGACAGACAAATGCTGCTTGCTTCAGTGACTCTGAAGCAGTAAGTATATTACTTTGGAACCCTAAAAATGTAACGCAACGCTTTAAACATTTGACTGCTGCCTTCACATGCCTAACATAAGTGAGCTAATGCATGCAGAGGAACTGTCACATATGTTTTGCAGAATACTGTTTAAAACTTGCACATAAATCTTTCATTCTTGTAATTTACTGCCACTCATTGTAGTTGAACCCTCCATTATCATAAATTATTTATTTTTATCACATAGACACTTAAAGATACTTCAAGAACATTATCTCTCATATTAAAGTTTTCAAAAACACTAATCAGAAGAATTTCATTTTTTAAACAAAGCGAGCACATATTAAAGGTTTGCCGTGTACATGGTATTTTCAGTAAGAAACAAATTTAGATGCAGGAGATGAAAAATTAAACTTCTGAATTTCAATAACTACACATAATATTGTGTGCAATTTAACAGATTCTGTGGAGCAGAGTCCTTGTGAAGCTAATTGTTGCTGAGCTAGTTAAGGATTTTATAGCATTACACGGAACCCAAAAGTCCGTCACCATGTTCACAAGCACTCACTGTGTCAGGAAGTATGCTGCTTGCTGCTTACATGTTCAGTTGCTCTGGTTCCTTCAGAACCTCAACACTTCTATCAGACTAAACAGTGTATACTCTTCATGTTTGTTCGTGTTGCTATTTCACATGTCTAGTTGCAATGTTACAGTCTTTATTTCTGTCAAATGCAAAGCTAGGTAGGTACAGATGTAATGTGAGTGATGGGATGCAGATGTGGTAGTTTGCATCCTACACTTCCCCTGAAGAATAACACATTATTCTAGTAAAAAACAAGTGTGTTTTGAAGTTTTATGACCTCATAAAATTTCAGAGCCCAACCTGCACTGCTCCATAATGATGTTATTGAAGATGGCCTTCAGTAGCATGAAGACATACCAGGTTTACAAAATTTTAAATAGGGTCAGGTAAACGATTGAATTGTAAATACAGATTTACATATAAATCATGGTAATCTCTCCTTATACAGCAAGGAAAGTAAGCGAAAATAAGAGTTGGGTAGTAGAATGATGGATGAAGATTACCATTATCTGGAATGTGTTGCTGTATAGAATGGCAGAAACATACCAGAGATTCAGAAGAAATTGCTGGCTCAGTCTTCAGGGTAGAAGAGCAAAGGTGGAAAGAGCAGATTGCTCTCAAATGGTTGGAACTTTCTACCAGACTTCACAGCATCACATCTCTGAAGACAGTAATCTTCGTATTCACTGCCATGGTAACCTCAGATCTCTCACAGAATGGTGTATTTTCCAAAGACATTCTTTGCAATTTTTAGATCGCTGACTGATCTGTTGAAAAATCTGATCAGTAACAATAATATTCCAGAGCATAGGGGCAGATATTATATGTTCCTTTTGTGTAGTTAAACTATTAATGATGTTTAAATAAATTGCATAATCCCAGTCATGTTTTATGTTACACATTATATTTTTTAATTCAATATTTTCTCAGAAGTTTGATAAATTTATCAGATTTGAAGTAGTCACAGCAGTTGCTCTGAAGAGTTCTGTCTCTTGAGATGCTATGCTGTGTAGTCCAATGAAAGTCAACCAGTTGTTCACCAAAACATTGGTTGACTTTCACTGGACTGTGTGGCGTTATACTGCACGAGATAGAATTCTTCTTTGGTATATCTGAGGTAAATATTGAGTAAGGATTGTAGCGGACTAATACAAATCAAAATGCAGTTTGAGTAATTTTAATATAAAACCCCTGAGTGTTAAATCTTATCACAGTCCATTAAATGGTTTTAAAGGTGAAACATGGGCTAGCAAACCCGACAAAACTCTTGGGTGCGCATATTTTATGAAATCTGTGGAAAGCGCATGTGAAATACATAAGTGTAAGTTGCCTTCTGGATGCTAATGAGAAATATGCTGTGACCATTACAGATTCAATCAATAGTTCTTGGCAAAATTCAATATGGATGCATATAATAATTTTCGAGAGGCCTCCACTGCAATTATGTGCCTGCTTATCTGCCATCTGTTTCCTCTGTATGAACAGCTGTTTAGAGTTTGAAGTGCCTTGCAGTAAAGAGTATAGAGGGAATGAATGTGAACTCACATTGAAGCATTGGAGGTACATTTAGATCTGTGACGATGATTACTGATGAATCATTCAACTTGACATGTGGAATTCCTGCAGCATGTTATAAACGCAGCAGCAGCTAGTGGTATGAAAACTTCCAATGTAAAATTATTGGGGTCCCTAAGATGTACCATGCCATTAGCATACGCTTTTAATTATTTTATACAATTAGTAGTAGGTGTGAGCTTCTAAGTGGCACATAATGTATATATGGAGTATAGATCACCCAGGCAGTTGGATATTGTGTTAGTCTTGTGTGCTATATAAACTTTATGTTATTAGATGCGACATAACCCTCATTTTTCCTATCAACAATATCAGTATAGTGTCAGATTTTTTATGTGGAATCAGTACTGGAACTGTCCAGTGCCAAGCACCAAGATGCTACGATGTTAGAGCTCTGAAGAATATACTGATATTGATAAATCCACTTGTGTGTAAGATGAAGTAAGAGTTATGCATATTTAATATTTACTTTGAGGTGTTAAAATGGTAACTGACAAACCATTGTATGTACATTTGATTTGAATTATGAAGATATATACAAACATTGTGTGAAATTAAATTTTGTATTGAAAGCTGCAAGTATGGCAACATGAGGTTATGTCAGAAATGGGCAAAATGGGAGTTGTGTATTGGTAGGACTGCTTGTATACAACCTCTAAGTTTCTGTTATGGGTAAATAGAGCTTTGGCCAGGTGTATCATATTCAGACATGTGGTCACCGATTTTTAAAGTCCAAACCCATTTTTTATTAAAGTATGAAATACTTTTATTGGATTAGTCTCTCTGCCTTTACTAGTTCTATGTAGTTTAGGTATAGCAAGATTGCAGACTTATCTTCAGAAATCATTATGTATGCTGGAGATTAAACAGAATTATTATGATGCTATATAATAAATTACCTCATCAATAGGTTTGCTGTCTTGTTACTCCATAAATATACATAGAGTAATTCTCAACAGTGGATTCAAACATGACACAATACCAAAAATGCTGATGTTCTTTCTAAGAATTTACCTGAATTTTTCAAGTATAGCACCTCCTTATTTTACTGTCATTTGAACAGTGAGTTGTTACAGTTGGTGTTTCTGACAGTATCATGCTTGATCTAATTAAAAATAGTAGTACTTTTAATTTTTACTGTTTGATTTTGCAGTGATGAAGAACGTTATAAGAAAGTCCTATGGAAGGATGTGAAAGTTGGTGATCTCATTCATCTGTCCAACAATGAAGTGATTCCAGCTGATATTCTCTTGCTGCGATCACGTGATCCCCAGGGGCTGTGCTATATTGACACATGTAATTTGGACGGAGAAACCAACCTCAAACAGCGAGAGGTGGCCAGAGGATTCACTGAACGAGTAGGGATCAGCGTTTGTTTTATTGTATTGTTTTTGTCTTAAAATTACTCGTATATTAAGATTCTCGTAGTTTGTACATACATGCATGAACTTATACACACACAAGCGCACACACTGAACATTGTGATCAAGTAGTTAGTACTCATATTTAGGAGGTTCTGACTTCAAATCCTGTCCTCAAGGTTTGCTGTTCTCGATCATTAGTTCTCCCTTCCACATCCTTTCCAGTCTGTTATTCAGTGGTATATAATTTGACGTCGTTAAATAAACCACATGTGAATGAATCACGTGCACATGCAGACACAAATACAGACATTGACACAAAAATATTAATCAAAGATAAAACTATTCATTGTTTCCATTGAATAACTGACAATGCTCCAGTGAATTAAGAAGGATTTTCTCACATATGCAACTGAATGTCTCAATTGAGTTGTTAGCGCACCCGCCTCATATATGGGCTTCCATTCTGTGCCTGGAGACTACCTATCATAAGTAAGGCTTTTCATTCATGGGTATCTTGAGTTCTACCAAGAGAATGTTGGGAGTGTACCCCATTGCATAATCCCAGTCATCCTGCCATTTGATGCAATATAACATATGCAATTGAGAAAACATTAAATTACCCAAAATACAGTAAGTGTGGCATATGCAGGTAGGTCCTAGACATTTGTTGTTTATTCTGAGGTGGGAATACTTTATATGAATTGATGTATGCCAGTTGTAATATTTGATTTTATGTGGGATGTTGGTTATCAGTTACGATTGGGTGCTGAATTGTAGGAAGAATTACCTTCAAAATATCATTAGTAGTGAAATACACTTTTGTTATATCTAGATATGTTTCAGAATATCAGAAATTCATTTTTTCTAAGCAGTTTTGTCCCACTGTTCAGCAAAACCGGGTCAGTAGGCAGAAAAAACAAGAAGTTTGGAGGGAAGGAGTGATCATAAAAGAAAGAAGAAAACAGCATTAGAGTTGAGGTTATCACGGCAGTGAAGATTTTTATATATGTGGTCTTGTCATACATGGCACAGTGTGGTCTCATAGGTGGTTATCAAGCAGTTTGTGAGGAAATGTTGCTTCCATATTCAGGGTAAAAGGCTGTATGGTTCATAACCCAGAATATCATGATCTGTGAGTTTGAAGGGGTGCTAGGACAATGGCCACAGACTAAAGTGCAGATCCGTGAAATTATTGAAGCATATGAAGAAATGAAGCAGCCTGTGTGTCTGTAATCATTTTGGTGGTTTTCCAAAGAATCATGTTTAATTTGTATTGACTAGTTTGCATGTATGTAATTGATAGTCTGTTGTATAATGATTAAGTGATATTTGTTTTAGCAGCAAGTTACGGTTATTATATGCCGGTTCCCATGTCATATTCTTACAGCAAGATATGTTTGAGCCAAGAAAGTTCAAGTCAGTCGTGGAGGTTGATGGCCCAACAACAAAGATCTACAGGTTTCATGGTGCTATTGTTCATCCATCTGGTGAAAGAATCCCTGTTGGTACTGAGAATTTGCTACTTCGAGAATGTGTTCTTAAGAACACAGATTTTGTTGAAGGAATTGTTGTGTATGCAGGTAGGATTCAACATTTTTTGCCAGTATAGTCATGGTTTAGCTTTTATTCTGAATGGGTGTGAAACTGTTTCTCACTGTGAAGGAACAGAGTGTTCAGGAGAGGGTGCTGAACACGACAGTTGTACGAAGGAGAAGGGAAGTTACAAAGGTTGGAGAAAATTGTATTTATAATGTGGAGTTTCATAATTTGTGTTTACCAAATATTATTGAGCCAGGATAGCTCAGTTGGTGTAGTATCGGGCTGCAGGCTCTACAACCGAGGGGTGGGAGTTTGAGTCACAGTAATGTCAAGAACTTACTCCATGTCGTCCAGACTGCCTCTTGGGTCAACCGAGTTTTATATCCAATGGGTAGCACGGGCTCTTCTCCCCGGGGTAAAGCGGTCGGGGCGTGAAGCTGACTGCTGACCTCTGACTAGTGCCAAGGCCCAGAAAATATGGCTCTATACATCCACGTCCCATGTGCCTTCATGGTGTAGTGCTTGATTAGTTAAGCACAGGGTCAGCTTTACCTTTTACCAGATATTATGGTGGTAAAAGTGGTAAGATTCAAATTGGTGGTGTGTTAATAGGGATATTAATAAGGCATGCAGAGTTTTAGTCAAAGAATGTGAAGAGGGATGGGAGAATAATGTTAAAGTAGATTTAAAGATGAATAGTCTTAGGATATGAATTGGATTTGTCTGGCTCAGGATACTATCCAGTTATGTCTTTCTGTGAACATGCAGTTAACCTCTGGCTTTCCATAAAGGGAAGGAATATTTTGGCTAGCTGATCAAATGTTATCATTTAAAAAATTTGGAGTTATAATAAGAATAAATTTTGGGTACACAGTGATTGATTTGCATTACCCTGGCATGTTGAAAGGGTTTTTTTTTTCAGTCACTCCTTAGCCATCCCTGTTCTGTATTTCTTGCTGCTTACTCCATGAGACTAGTTTTCCTAGCCTTTCAAAATAGAGAAGGATTCTTTATTCCTTTCTCAACAAGGCTAGAGGCTGACTATGGTAGAATAACGGTCAAATGAAAGTTTTTTCCTGTACAAAAGTCTCCACAAAAAATTGGAAGTGAAATAATTATAATTTTTATAAACTTGTTTCATAATATTTTTGGATGTTAAGACTCTTTAGGGTTTCATTTTTGAACGGAAGTTGTTAAGAATAACATTATGGCATTTTACAGTTAACCCCAAGAAAATTTATAATAAAATTCACAAGTATTGGTACCAGCCTTAGACTATGTTGCCTCTGATGAAAAATAAATCCAAACAAAGTGCCCCTTATATTCAGTGCAGGAAAAATGCTATAATTGGTAATTCCCAAAGTATGGTAAAGTTACTGGTGCCATAATGAAATATTTCTTGTGGCATATGAAACGTTAAATGTTTAATGGTGTGCCGAGGCCCTGTTTTGCACACTCTACACCAAACAAGTATTGCATTTGTAAGATACCTCGCTTGAATTCCGGTTGAGGATTGACTGCCTTGACAGGATTCTGTTGTTTTTTTCTTTACAATGTATGTAGAGATATTCTGGTTTAAGAGACATGATGTTCGTACACCAGTGACTATGAAGATCACTGTCCCCTGCGATGTAATGTTGTGTACTCCTGTAGATTGTTGCCAGCAATTCAGAGGCACCTGCTTTCTATATCTCCAGGATAGCCTGAAGACAGTAATCTTAAACTTCCATTGTACTGCCTGTAAATAGTTCATGCCCAGTATCTCCCACAGTCCACCCAACTTGTCATATCTTATTCAGCACTGCATTGTCTTAATAGTTAATGAAGCATGGTAAATTAACCAAGTGACCGTCCATCTCCCAACATAATTCTGAATTTTATGTGGTTATGCATCTTACTCTCATACTGAAGGTGTCAGCTGTGCTTTGCCTAACCTTCAGAAAATGTTCATTTCTTGTTATATATTCATATTCTCATCTTGTGTTGGTAGGTCATGAGACCAAGGCAATGCTTAATAATGGTGGCCCTCGCTACAAGCGTTCAAACCTGGAACGGCAGATGAATTTGGATGTCATATGGTGTGTCTTGATCCTGTTTGTGCTTTGTGTGATTGGTGCTGTTGGCTGCAAGCTCTGGCTGTCTTCCTATGAAAACTATGATAACCACTCAGTGCCTTTTATTCCTCTTGCGGAGAGTCCCATTACAGAGGGATTCTTGGGGTTCTGGACGTTTATAATAATCTTACAGGTATGTTTAAACATGGAAAGTGGTACTAGTCCAAATTTACGATTTTAAAGGTTCTCATGGTAGTGACTATTACAGTTATTGTCTTCTGGGATGTAACACCATATAGTCTGGTAGACGTTTACTGACGTCCCCCAGAAGTTTCAGTAAACATTTATCAGAGTACACAATGTCGTTTGCCAGAGGGCAATAATTTCTCTGAATGTAGATATTTGTTGTACAGTGATATTGTTTGTTTGTAATTAAAGGTAAAATTTTGTATAGTTTCATGAATGTTAGACAGTGTCTACAATACTGGCATAGTAGCAAGCCCCTTTTTTACAGGTCAGTAAGAGAAATTCTCCTGATCGTTATAGGTTATGTATCATTGCTTTGGAAGGAATGGACAAGTGCCTTTTCTCTGTTTTAGGTTATGATTCCTCTGTCTCTGTACGTGACATTAGAGATGGCAAAACTGATGCAGGTGTACCACATTCACAACGATGTTGATATGTATGATCCTGAAACTAACAAGCAAATTGAATGTCGTGCTCTCAATATCTCTGAAGAATTGGGACAGGTAAGAGTCTCTCCTGTAAGCAGATTATTGTGTTCAGGAAAGTTTCATTTGTCAGAAAATGGAAAAGATATATTTATGTTGGTTATCTAGTTTAGCTGACGACACAGAGAAGGGTGCCACATTTTTGTGAATCACAAGTGAACGTCATATGCATGTTCTTGTTTTTTTAAGTTCACCATTCCTGAAACACGAAAATCTTAAAATTGTACAAGTATATTTCCTCTGCAGTAGATTTATTGTTCATGATCGAATATATGCCAGTTTCTAAAGCAGGTTCCACTTATATTCTTCCCCAGACAAGAGAGCATAATGTTTGTAAGAGTGTAAGAAATGTTTATTGTCAGAGCAGAGTTATCTGGATTTTGTTGAGATAAGGGTGATGTTATCCTTTTGCTTAATTTGGCACCGTACCATGATATGATCTTGAGAGTATAACACCATGCCTTCTTAACCCCATTAATAGACTGAGGTGAGTGATCAGCACTTCATGTCCCAGTTGCCTTACTTGTGGTGAAAAAATCCCAGTACCCATGGGATAAGAGGCTGAGTGGGCCCCAGAGCTGGTCTGAATGCTGTAGAGGAGAGAAAAATATCTCCTCCTGCTAGAAATTGAATGCTGATTCCATGGTTCTCCAGCCTGTAGCCTAGTCACAGTACTGGCTGAACTATTGTGACTCCTGGATTGTGCACAGAAACTTGCTATAAATGTGACATTGTTTCAAATTTTTGTGTTCTCTGCATTATTTAATTACCATAAAGCATTGTTACTTACTCCACAAAGCAGAATCCTCCTTGAGAATCTGATAGATATTTTGCTGGTCAAGAAAATCCATTTGTTTTGTGGAACCAAAATTTCATTACTGTGCTTACTAGAGTCCATCACACACTGGATCCTACCCTGAGCCATTTAATTCGGTTGAATCCCTAACACATATTTATTTACTGTTACATAAATTGATGCTTCTTTATTTTTTGTAGGTGCAATATATTTTTTCTGACAAGACTGGTACACTCACAGAGAACAAGATGATTTTCAGAAGGTGTTCAATAGCTGGGGTTGACTATAACCATCCACCTCCTGAAAATGTCCAGGTGAGTATTCCAAAGTCTGAAAACATGCACATTGACATTTCTTATATGTTAATTAAATGCAGGGATTGAAGTTGTACAAACACTAAGGAAAACAAGTATGAGAAAATGAATTCTGTGAAATATGGGACAGAAGTAAAGTTGTCTCTGTGCCTAATTCATTAAGCACCGCACTATGAAGATGTATGGGGAGTGGCGGTAGGTCCAATATTCTCGACCTTGCAGTGGATGGAGGTGAGTTGTCAGATTCACGTCCCTGCCTCTTTACCTTTGGGGGCAGCTGTGAGATGCCATAAAGAAGACAAACAATTGGCTTTCATGCAGTTTATTTACTGTGTATCAAAATATTACTCATCAGTACTCTTACCTGATTTGATTTTTAATGATCATAAAGACTCGATGGCCTGTAGTCTGCCAGCAAACTATACTGTCCGAGCTAGTGCCACTTGTCAGCAAAGTTAGTGCCAATTTTTGTGGATAGAGGGTGTCACATGGTCAGTGCAACAAATCCTGATGGTCGTAAATTTTCGGTTTTCTAAACCAGAGCCACTATTTCCTTGAAGTAGCACCTCAGTTGTCCTCATGAGGATGAGTGGATCCCCATTTCAGACCTGCTGCTTCTCATAGGGATATGAAAATTGTTGTTTCGCGGTATGTTGAGTGTACTTAATGCAGTATTTTTCAAGATGTTTCTTAGGCCAAGAATGCCAGTCTCAGAAATATTTTTGAACACATTATCATTTATTTAATGCTTCACTGTTCACTCTTATTATGTACATATGCTGAATAAAAATTATGAAGTCTCTAAAGACTTTTTTTTTTTTTCTGCCTTAAGTGTGATTGCATTGAGGAGGCCATAGTTGGTAGCTGAATACGCAAGTCTGAAAATTATCTCAAAATCCTTAAGATATGTATGTGGAGAAGTTATACTTGACATTAAGATATCATTTTTCTCTGATGAATGTTTAGTGAGATGTGCACAGACATGCACATAGGTCTACATGTAATGTGGTCATTAAATATATCAGATTTAAATGAAAATTGAAAACACTTCATAATTTTTCCTGTTCTTGAATATCAAATTTTACGAAAGTCTACCCAGAATTTCTGTAGTTGTAGGCTTGATTGGTGCTCTGCAGCATCTTAGACATGGATCAAAGCTTTTAATTTGCAGCCCAAAGTTATACTTTGGCACTGTATACCTGAGACCGAGTAAGTCTGTGGAAAATGTCACTCAAGACATTTCAAGCAGCTGTTCTCTCACTATGTAGCAGTGAAAGGATTACTGTGCCTATATTGTCACATGTACGGGGTTCTGTGACAAATCATTAATGGATTGCGGCTTTAGACGATGCTGTTTATTGGAGAATTACTCGTTTACCCTCACAGTTTCTCTCAAATAACGCCCTTTCTGACGAAGTGACCTGATTAGTCCATCATCTCTTTCGTTTCCTCTTCAATGGAGTGTGTTTGCTCTTTGTTCTTCTCTTATCTCGCATCAGATCTGAACTCCTATCTCCTGTAGCTCTTTGCGTACCGCTGTGAGAACACCTTGTCGAAAGGTTCTGTTTCGCATGTTAGCTAGAATATTCGTTAGCAGATCTGTTCGTTGATTAGGAAATGCTAGCTGTTGATTGCAATGAACGCTAGTTGTCAGCGCCTTGTCTTGACATTGTGTTACCTAGGCAGTGACATTTCTCTATGCAGTGGGTTCACCTGTCACAATATTTTTGTGCAGAATCTGAAATTGCGACCAGGAGCCCCAATGCCACTCCTTGTGAACACACAGCTGCAGGAGGACTTGTGTCAGGTTGACCTACGGCAAGCACCTGAACGAAGTGACTTGCGACAAATCCTCCATGCGCAGCGCATCCAGGAGTTCCTCTTGCTGCTATCAGTGTGCAACACTGTAGTTGTCTCTCGGCACCCACATCATGATATGGTGAGCAATAGCCAGATAATCCATACACCACCAATATGGTGCAGAAGAGTCTCGTTTCAACTAAGCGTATGATTTGCTTATTGATCTATAAAAAGTATGTGATTGCCAAGGAACACCATTTTCAAGTGTCAGATCTTATTGGCTCTATTAGTTGGTACTGAATGGTTCAAGATATGTATTTTGTTATGAACATATGGCCATAAGCAGTTGAATAGGAATTTTTTCATATGGGTGTCACCTCTTCCTTGAGTACATTGCCATATGTTTTTTTTCTGTTGTTAATTTTTGATAGCTGTAAGAATAGTCTATCAGTGTCATAGAGCCATTATGTTTTGTTAAGAGCAAAAATTATACATTTTCACTGAGGAAGAAAGATAACTTTATGGGAATTAGTATATAGTTGATATTATTATTTTAAAACTTTAACAGTAGTTTAAGTTATTTGTGTTCATCTTAAAACAAGTTTGCTTTTAGTAAACAGTTCGAATAAAGTAGATGTAACTACTATTGCCATGGCTGAACAGCTGCTGTGACAGTTATGGACATATATGCACCATGATAATTTCACAGAATATCTTTAAAAACTAATATCTGTCAACTGCCCAATAATACGTAGGTCGTACTGAAACTCATGAGCAACAATTTTTTGTAAAGTAACATGTTTTATTATTGACAAACCAAATACACCACCTTGATCTACAGACCTTTCTTTATTTTTCCACATAATCGCCACTTCTTTGTACACATTTCTCCCAGCGTTCTGGGAGTTTGAAAATTCCCCTTCTGGAAAATTCTGTTCCAGCCATCCAAAGACACTGATGCACTGCTTTCTGAATTCACTGTGCTTATGGAAGTGTGTCCATGGGTGCGCACAGTGTTTGAAGATGGCTGAAACATTTTAAAGATGGGAACACCAGCCTCAGAGTGGTCGTCCTCGAACAGCCTCAACTGAACACAACAAGGAAAGAGTGGATGAGATCATTGAAGATGACACGCATGTTGCTGTGGACACAATAGCCCGAAAACTTGGAATAGGGCACAGTGCAGTACAGGAGATGATTGAAAGCTTGGGCTATAGGAAAGTTTGTGCTCGTTGGGTCCCGCGGTTATTGAGCGAAGACCACAAAGGTCACATTGGAAGCAATTGCAAAGATGGGGTGGGAAGTTCTTCCACATCCCTCCTATAGCCCTGATCTGGCACCTTCCGACTACCATCTTTTCGGATTTGTGAAGGATCAGCTGCGTGGACAAAGTTTTGAGACAAGGGAGGCAACTCAGAAAGCAGTGCGTCAGTGTCTTCGGATGGCTGGAATGGAATTTTATGGAAGGGGAATTTTCAAACTCGCAGAATGCTGGGAGATATGTGTACAAAGAAGTGGCGATTATGTGGAAAAATAAAGAAAGGTCTGTAGATTGAGGTGGTGTATTTGGTTTGTCAATAATAAAGCATGTTATTTTACAAAAAATTGTTGCTCATGACTTTCAGTATGACCCTCGTATATACATGGTTAATTAATTAGTTGTTTAGTTTGTTTCTGAGTTAGGATGTTGTATTTCAGTTGGAATGAAGGTATATGTAAGACAACATTTTTTTCAGAACGTTTTTCTGCCTTCACTGAGTCCTGAAAATTGCTTTCCTGCACTCTTTAGTAGCCTGCAGAGAACGCTATCCCATGGTAGAATCTTCATGTACGGATGACTTTGTCTAAGATTAGGATGACAAATGCACAAATATTCTTGTGTTACACTCTGCACTGTATCATGTGAACCTGTAATGCATGGCCATTGCCATCAATTTGATTAAATGAAATTACTTACCTCACTCCAGTTTATTTATTTGACTTCCAGATGGATGCTAGTGGTGTGATAGAGTCAGTTCCAAGTGTGCTTGGCAGCCACTCAGGAGCCAGTGTTAATGTGGCATCTTCACATGCTCATCGTGATAATAACTTAAGCTCCATCACAGCAAGGCAGTCGGTCGTTATGGCTGTTGGGAGCACACAGACTGACAAGTATTCTCGCCTCTCAGAGTCCCGGTCTGTAACCCCTTCCCCTCCTCCTCCTCATGCTCATTCCTATCCTCCGCACACATCTATCAACTTTCCCACTTCTGATGCAACACCTTTTGGTAGGCGGGCACTAAATTATCCTGGAAGTGGGAAACCCCCAATGGAGTTCCCTCATCAGCCCATTTTGTCTCCTATTAACTCTTCTTCTGAATCAACTCCAACTGCTGACTCACCCACAGCGTCCCAAGCAATCAAACAAGTTAGTCGACCAAAGCTTCTAAATGTACCATCTCTGCTGTCAGTTTGCTCAAGTAAAAAATCTTCAATTAGTAAATCAGGAAACTCCCAGAATTCACAGCAGAGGTCAGCCACGCCTTCCCCATGTGAACTGAAGCCAATTTTTGAGGCAGAGAGTCCAGATGAATTAGCATTGGTGGATGCTGCCTACAGTTACAATTGCCGCCTGGTGAAGAGAACGCCACAGTTTGCTACAGTTGCATTACCAGGTTAGTATATTTCTGCAGAATGAAGCAGTGCAGCGTGTTCTTGTCGGAAAGTCGTTGACACTGATCAACATACAAGGGTAGGGACAGATGGTAATGATACTGACATGTCAGCTATGCAACTTATGAAGCAGAACTACCACTATCACCACATAATATATCTTGAAATTGTGTGCTGTAGCATACCTTTAAGAACTCTGCAACATTTGTTACAGCAACTCTTGTAGAATGCAAGAGAAGAACATGGAGCCTGCGTGAAATCTGTATTTATCTTATGGTTTGATGGCAGTGACTAATGAAGCATTGAAGCTAAATGTGCAAGGTATTGAGTGGAGATGGAACATAACTATACCTACAAATTCTATATGAAACATTTTTCTAATGTTGATAATTCCCAGCAGGGACAGAGTTCTTCTCTCCACCACCTTGTTCAGATTGGCTCTGGGACTTATCCAGCCTCCAGTCCAATAGGTACAGCGGAGTCTTTCCCCTGTGACACACAAACCTCTATCTAGCACTGAAGTTAAGAAAGTATCGAACTTTATCACCTTTCCTCCATATGTCTTCATGGCATGATGCTTAAGCACATATTCAACAATATGTTCTTGATACGTAGTTATAAACATGGCAGCAGTGGAGTACTTAATGGATGTATTTGACAAATTTCAAGTAGTTATATAGGGGGCTCATGGTAGCGTAGTTGGTTGAGGCACTATGCTACAAGCGGGGAGGTCACAGGTTCGAGCCCCAGTGAGGTGTATTTCTTCAGTTTACCTAATCCTTCCAGCTGCACTATGGCACTATGGTTGACTCAGCCTCTAACAGAAATGAATACCAGGGATCTTCCTGGGGGGTAAAGGGAGCCCGGCACATAAGGCTGACAACCTTACCACCATCTGTGAGCCAATTGTTTAGAGACTATGTGGGAGCCTCAGTGTCACAATCCAGTGGGCCTTCATGGCTTATTACAGCGATAGCTTTACCTTACCTTTACCATGTAGTTGTATTTGGTAGTGTCTGACGTATTTCTCTTCTAACTGATAATATATAAATTAAGGACTGCCAGGGTGCAAAGTTTCAAATCATGGTTAATTGCTTTTCATATCAGTTCAGTGAAAAATTTGTGGCTAAAAGTCAGATTTAAAAATATGATATTTCATTTTTTCTTAAATTTCTTGTCTTAAAGTATGAGTAAAAAAGTAAAAAGTGAAGGTTTCCCTGTAACAGGCTGTGGAAGCCCATGGGGTGTGAGATGTTGAAGCTCTCACATTTTCTAGACATTCGGCTTGCAGATGGCGGTGAGGTTGTCAGCCTTATGCGCTTGCCACCCTTTACCCCCGGGAATATTCCTGATATTAATTTCTGTTAGAGGCTGAGTTGACCCCAGGGCCATAGTGCGCCTAGAAGGATTAGGTAAATTAAAAAAATCGACCTCATTGGGATTCAATCCTGCGACCTTCCAGCTTGTAGCATAGTGCCTCAACCAACTATGCTACCGTGTGCCCCCCTTAAAGTATGGGTTCTAAAGTTATGTGGAGTTCAAAACTATGCAAGTAAATATGGTAATGTAGTCTTAAGGGATGCACATGGATCAGACTGCATATGATCCAGATGGTCCAAATGGAATACTTCTAATGCAGTTTATAAGTTAATTTTTCTTGGATATGTACAAGTACATTTTGTCACAGTTTCACAAATTTTTATTGCAAAATACATAACTGAAACATTTTCAGAAATTTTGAAACTTGGTTACAGATGTGTAGCAAACTTCTTTATAATGTATGGAAAGTGTGGTCAACTAGGAATTACTAGACGATTTACACAGATAATGTTTTGCACCTGGGCAATCAGAGGTATGGATCTTGAAATTGAAGGTTGGCTAGACTGTGCATTGTCATCTGTTCTCCCATTTGTAAAATGAGCCATTTATAGTTAATTATTTAACTGGAGAGATCATCGCTGTAAGCTTCATGCAACAAGATGTTGGTTTCTGGAGCTGCTTTTCCCTACTTTGAAACAGAATTTAATACAAATACTTCGCTCCTTTACTTAGTCCATGCTGATTGCTACAACACAGCAACACGCTTGATCATAAAAAAAGATTATAAAAACTAAACAGAATATCTGATCTACTTGGAACAAAATGGTTTGCATAACTAACAACAGGTTGCAAGGTCACATGAGCAACATATAATGTGACTGATTCGCTTCTGGTCCACACCACAATTTTGAGAACTTTCTGAACACATCTTGTATATGTGTATTTTTTTGATGTTGTGTTTCCTTTCAGGTGAAGGTGTTCTTGAATTCGAAATCTTACAAGTGTTTCCATTTGATTCAGCACGAAAATGCATGTCTGTGGTACTCAGTCATCCAATTACAAGAGAGAAAATCCTCTACTGCAAAGGAGCAGATTCAACAATTCTGCCTCAACTTGCTCCATCAGGTTAGTTCCCAAGGGTGCAAGGAAGCAACTTGTGATCAATCATAGAAATAGTTTTTTCTTGCAAGTTGCTTGTGGTAATAATATGCGCAGGACATGATAATTCCATGATCGAGTTGCTGGAGAATGCTGGTGCAATTTGGAGGAAAGAAAGAACTTTGACATTCTTTCAGTGACTTGTGTCATGGGGATGAGCAGCACACTGATCAGAGAAGTGAAATCTTCCTCTTTTGGGAACTCATTTTGACATCTAATGCCCTTAAATAGTAAAGCTGGCCTGTGTAACCCATGCTTTTCTGTTGGCTACACGTTTTTTGAGAAACTTTTTGACATTCTTGAAGTGGAAAAGGTTATCATCCTAATAATTAATGGTGGAGTTGTCAGCCCCATCAGCACTGCAGGATAACAGAACAGTTATCCTCTGCTTGGAATTATTTCCCCCATTACAGGGAACCCCTCCTTTCAGATTCGATGTCTTATTAGGTGGATACCTGAAGAACAGCCCAGTCTCATCAGCATTGTAAATATTCTTAGGTTTGTAACCCTCAGTAATTTTGAGTAACTGTTCCATTCATCATTCCCCACTGTTGAAGAGTCTATGCTTTTGCGTTCTCCCACTACAGTTTTGTGCACAGTGCACATGTGCTGCTTGAGACCAATGAACCAGCCATCAGTGCCCAACCTTGTGGCAACGTGTAGAGCCTTTCCCTCATCAACGTGCCACTGATACTGTGTTGCTCTCTCTGGCTTCTTTAAACCACATGGCCTAGACTTCTCCTATTTCAGGTTCTTCTTTTGATTAAAGAACCTGTAGCATTGTAACACACTGATGGACGTGAATGAATTGTGTGACTGGATTGGTTTGGAGTTAGCAAGTGAAATATTTATTCACAACTCAACTCCAAACAGCAGTCAGAATTCAAATTTGGAAACCGATCTAACCTAAGGTTTTTGTAGTAGCAATTACTCCGCCTGAAATGCTATATTTATAGCGTTTAGACTGCTATGACCAAATACAAATATTATGATTGAGAGGTTTGAACTTCTGCTTCATATTCTGGAGTTCCTGACCCAGATACTGACCATTCCACCTGAAGTTTTTATGGCTTTCTACAGTCCCTCAGGGCACATTCCAGAGTGGTACCTCAAATTATGCCATGATCACTTCCTTTCACATACTTTTCAATTCATTATTCACTAACCTTATCATTCATTGCCATTGGTAGTTGGAAGTTTCATCAAGCAAACTGAAACTGACTATTAGCATACACCTAACTAACTTTTGAAGGTCCAAGGATTATTCAGCCTAACTGATATTTTTGTAATTTTCTCACTTCTTTTCCCATGCATTCTTCTTTAATTGTAAGCCTGGCAGAGAGTTGTATGTTTAGAAACATAAATGCAAGCGGCATTGCTAGATATGGCAGGGAGTTTGTATGAAGGATTGTTTTAATGTAAGTGTTGATATGATTTATGCAAGCACCTTTTTGTGGAATTTGTTGTACATATTGGGAATTCATTCATGAAGCCTTTTGACTATTGGAGAGCCGTGTTAAGCAAAATGTTATGCTTTGTTCGAAGTGCATGTCTGCTAAGAGGCTAAGGAAAGGGGTTGTATGATAGATCATGAATGGTCATTGCTGGGATCAGTGAAGACCCCAATTTCTGCCTCATATAATTGAACTGAGTCATTGAACACATTGGTTTGTTCCAGATGACTTCATGATGCAGCAGCTCATATTCCGAACTCAGCAGCATCTCAACTCTTATGCCCGTCAAGGTCTCAGGGTTTTAGTAATGGCCAGAAGAACCCTGTCAGATGTGGAATATAATGATTGGCTGCGTAAACATGGTGAAGCAACTCTAATGATTGAGAATAGAGAGAGGAGGTTAAGAGAGAGCTATTCTAGGCTTGAAACAAATCTGACATTGCTTGGTGAGTATGTTAAACAGGTTTAATATTTAACATTGTGATTCTGTTCAAAATGATCTTTTCTGTCATGAGATTGCTGCTTGTGTTCATGCTGAAAGCATATTCTTTCATTACCAACACATCATCATGATATAGGAATTAGGTTAACCATCAACACAACAAATGTACTCACTTTTTAATGTTTTACAATTTGACTTATTTAGCATTAGAACCTTAGTTAAGTTGGCATACATATTTCTTAACCTCCCATGCTAAATTTTTAAATACATTTTTTTACATTTTAAAAATAGTTTTAATATTTTTAATATACCATAATATATTCAACACTATAAATTTTGATATATGGTATATTTTTTATCTTTTATCTTATTTTGTATCTTCTACTTTAATTGTAACACCAACTTGAGGCAAAAAAAAATATGTTACTGTATAACGCAACACGTTGCACTGGTATGGATCCATATCGGTAGTTCAATAACTATATGTATTCCTATATATAACTGCCTGATATGACCGGAACATGTATCAGGAGTGTTGACAGTTAAGCTAATTCCTATATATATCTGGAAGACACAACAGGATGCAACCAATGAAAATTACATCATCAGGATGTTAATTAATATTTAATTTTTTACATCCTTCCTTACTCAATGGATCTACAATCATCTAAGAATTTGACATCCTTTATGACATGCCCATTCTTTTCTGTCATTTGTATTTTGCCTCCATCTATTCAGTTTCAGCTCTTGCAAATCATTCTCTAGTCATTTCCCCAAATTAACTGTTCATTATCCATCATTAGTTTCCTTAACATGCATTGCCATCTGAGGGACGGTTGTTTGCCTCTGTCTCCCCTCCCCCCACTTGAAATGTCTAGCGTGGGTATTTGTACAAGGAACTTAGCCCCTTCTAGTGTGGCTCTCCATATAATCAGGGCGTTCATCCCTCTCCACCATGGTAACAGAATAGCCTGGAGAGAAATTATTATAGAATAATTAAAACATATGTTGTTTGCAAACCATGTTTTGACTATTCTGTAACTGTTACTTGTCATTACACATGCTTATGTTGCACTTGTTGTGTTGGCAGTGTTAATTCAAGTTGATGAATTTCTTGTGTTTATTTTCACATCTTCTGTTTAGTGTTCTAAACAACTCTGTTCCATTTTAAGGATGCCATTGTTTATACTGACTACACTACATTTTTGTGACATAATTATAATGGGACATAAAATATTTTCACTGAATTAAAATATTTTATGGGAAAAGTCCTGTGGTGGTGTTTAGTCTGTATTATTAACTTACTGGTGTAGTTATGTATGATAATTTCAGTGAGGTTTTTAATGATCTTGATTGTGATATCATTAACAATGGTTTGTAAGGTTTTCTGTCATCTGTCAGTCCCTTTGGAGTGAGCTTTCTTTCTTTTATTTCTAGTAATTATAATAAATATTAATAATCACTGTCTTCATTACTTACTAGCTGTCTGGACAGCCAGCTAACCAATTGACTGACGGACCAATGAATGAACCAGTTAACAAACAAGCAAACCAACAAATGAACAAATCAATTCCGTGGATCTGAGTTCTTCTTGAAAACCTAATAATTTCTAAGTTACTCAAAATATTGCCAGCAATTTATAGAACTGAAAGGCTCAGGCACATACTCATATGTGGATATTCATGTAGAAAGTCATTCATCGAGAGGGGTGCTGCTTAATTCAGTACCCTGTGGTAATAATATATTCAGAATTTTTCATATTTAGATGAGGTGTTTACATCCTAAATTGTATGATAAAGTTGGCCTATAAAAGCCTCTGTTCATTGCTGCATTCTTTTCCATGTCCTGTAATCTGCAAATTAATTTATTTATTTATTGTGAAGTTAAGAAATTTACACTTTTGAATGGGTAAATGGCGCTCCCTAATCTTATCTGTATTTAATATTTTAGCTGAGAATTACAACTGGCTCCATAAGGTGAACACACAGTAGGGTGCCCATAATAGTTGTGCCATTTGTGTATTCAAATTTATGCAGCCAGTTAACATATTTGTTTGATTTGTTGATCTCACTGTGGTGGCTTTAAGGACTGTGGTGTTATATACCAGCTGATGAACACTTCAGTTAATGGTATTTGAAAGGCATGAAGTTTCCACTAAATATTATTGGGTGAATTTCAGTTTGGTCCTTGTTGGTCCATTACAGCCAAGTACTCGTACTTTAAATGAAAATCGGGTTAAAATTAATTGATATGTGACATATGTACAGGTATGATTAAGATTTATAGCATTTATTTGAAACATATAAATATTCTGTTGAGCAGCTCCTCTCATCTTCACCCTAACTGAATTTCCAGGAAGTTGCTCACTGCTGTTGTCCCTGATTCAGTCGTGTTCCAAATCCCCCCCCACGAGTAGACTGGGGTGTCCAAGCTAGCAGTGATTCAGAGAAAGGCTCCTCAATTCTGAGTATTTAATGACAATAAGAACAACAGTAACACAAAATTGACTAACATAAACTAAACACTTGTATCAACAAATCCAATATTATTGCACACTTTTGTGCTTGGCTCCTTGTAGAGTACAAAATAAATCACAAACAAAAGTACAATAAGAGTATGCAATTGACAAGAACTCGGCACATTGAACAACTTCTCCTGTAGAAATACCTACTTACCTTCATGACAGCTAGTAACCCACTGAGAGAGGTTCCCACTCTACGTATCCAGACCAAGCTGGCAGAATATACAGGGAGTTCAGTCATTGAAGAAACCGGGGGATCACCATGAGTTGGATACAACATTGCTCACAGATTGCTGTATTTCTATAAATGTGTACATGTACAGAAACTGGTGTGAGGGAATCAGTGACAGGACTGCACTCTCACTAGCAAGAAAGGACACAGTAGTTGCAGAGAAACGATCCATCCACTATATGCTAGCGAGAGTGCGCGCATTTTTCAGCCCTGATGACTCATTCTGCTGTCGGCAGTTACAGCAGCAATCTATGAGAATATTGTATGCGACCCACGCCACTTCCCTGGTTTCCTCAATAGTTGAATGCACTGTACTAGAACAGCTGGAGGAAAAAGGTGGGGGAAATCATGTGATAAACTGGAACACAGAAGGTACAACATAGGAAGTGGGGAGGGTGGGGGGGGAAATAAGGAAGGTGAGCGCCTGGCCGTCCGACAGTAGCAAAACAACTACAAATCAAGTCATACCTAAACATGGCTCACTATATATGTATGTTACACTGCAGAGTCATATATTGTCTTACTGTGCTTGGATGTATGTGTGCTTTAATTAGCTATATGTTTGGATGACTGCTTTAATGCAGGAGCCACTGGTATTGAAGACCGACTTCAGGATGGAGTTCCTGAAACCATCAATGCTCTGATCAGTGCTGGGATAGTCGTGTGGGTGCTTACAGGTGACAAGCCAGAGACTGCCATCAATGTAGCATACTCGGCCAAACTCTTCTCCCCACAGATGGAGTTGCTGAAACTATCAGCCCGATCAAAAGATGCAGCTGAGAGCACAATAATGTTTTATCTGGCTGATATCGAGAGAGAATCTCCTCCAGACATTGGGTGAGAGAGAACATAAGAATTTTCCTGTTACAGAACATTTGTTATACAGAAGTGAAAAATTTATAAATCCATGTATCTTTCGGGGACCTGTTGTGTAATAGTTGGCTAGGTAAAGGTTCCAGTTTATTTATATGAGAATTTTAATGGACAATGAAAACTAATTCATGAAGTTAAAATTGTTGTTAATTTAATTTTCTAATTATTGATATTTTGTTATAATGTTCTATAAAATAGATATTTATGTCATTTATTATTTTACGTACATTTAAATACACTTCAATTTTTTGTCTCTCTGGATTATAACATTATATGTTTTATCAATGGTTATTTTTAAAAACAAAATTTATGCTCCTAGCAAACACTTTCATGACTGCAACTAAGTTGTGGCACCTATTTTTGGGTGACCTCCCATATGAAACATAGCTAGTTTTGTGTTTTGATAAAGAATGAAAAGCAATTATTAAAAATAATCATGGTTTGGGCATGCATTTGTCATTTTATGTGGTTTTGATCATTTGGACTTGAATGGGAGATGAATATCTTTGGTGTGTTGTAATCCAATGTGATAATAAGTACAAAGATAGCAAGCAGCTGATCCCTAGGGCCATGCAGAATCTTAAGACACATGGTTGAATAACGTTTTCAAGTCTGGCATGCCTCTGTTTGTATTGCCATGGGCTATGGGCTGAATGGTTGGGGTGTGATTCCTGGTAGGAGTAAGATTTTTTTTAACCCAGTGTCCAGAATGGCTCTGGGGCCCACCCAGCCTATCCATTGGGTACCAGTGGCTCTTTCCCCGGGTGTAAAGTGGCCGATGTGTGAAGTTGACCACTCACCTCCATCTAGTGCCAGTGTTAAGAATGGTGGAGCCATACCTCCACTTTTCCATATGCCTTCATGGCATGGTGCTTAATTAATTAAGCACAGGGACAGGTTTAACTTTACCTTGAATATGTATGTTCATGTTTTTCACTGTTGTCCTCTGGAGGTATCAGCCTTGAGATCCCTTTTTTAGGCAGTTGTGTGCCTCCCTAAACAAAATTTTACAGAACCTCTGTAACCAGAGGAGCCAAAGCTTAACTTAAGCTACAGCAGCAATGGAAAATTAAGTGTGGATGTTCATACAGTATTCTTAACAACCCATCTGTAAATTATCATAATTATTATTTTTTCAGAATTACAAGTGGGCCCCCGGGTTTGAACCAAGTGGGAGTATTTGCACGAGCTAATGTTTCTTCTGGAGATGCTCCATCACAGCATCAGAGGGGGCCGCTTCATTCCAATAAAAAGAGGGCCTTAGTTATTGATGGCAAGACTCTCACGTAAGTTATGGTGGTATGTTATAATGTGATGTATTTGTGAGAGTTTGATGCCAGCTGTAAGAATGAAAGAAGTTCAAAAACAGTACCTACAAATCACAGATACTCATAGTTTACACAACATAAATTTTTCGTAGATAAAATTGTAACGTAACGGTGAAAAGCTAGCTGAGGGCAATTTGCAGGCAATTAATATATCATTGTTTGAGGTGTGTACCTAGTAATGGTCCCTATGCTACAAGCCGGGAGGTTGCGGGTTCAAGTCCCGATGAGGTCATTGGATTTTTTTCAATTTACCTAATCCTTCCGGCCGCACTAGGCCCTGGGGTTTACTTAGCCTCTAACAGAAATGAATACCAGGAATTAATTAAATAATTTTCCTGGGGAGTGAAGCACGGCTGGCGCATAAGGCTGACAACCTTAGCGCCGTCTTTGAGCCGATTGTCAAGGTAATGTGGGACCCTTAACATCTCACAACCCTATGGGCCTTCACGGCCTGTTACAGGGATAGCTTTACTTTTACTTTTACTTACCTAGTAATGGTCCATAACAAACAGAAATAATGTCACTTGAAGCAACAAAGTACAGTGTTGTTTCTCTTGCCAATGGAAGTGAGCCTCATCAGAGAAACGTGAAGACTCAGAATTTTTTAGTTTTTTCAAATAGCACACCAAATTCATTTGCAAAGGCTTGTTATGTTTATAAAATGTCTTGCAAGTGCTTACTCAATTACTGTGTTCTGCGATGTGATGCAGTGTAAACTGGTGGGATGTCGGTAATGATCTAATAGACTGCATGTCACCTCCCAATCTTTATAGTCGCCTGTAATCTGACAGTGGTAAATCAGCACAACAGACTCTTCATATAGTGCTGTTTGACATAACACTATTGTGAAATGTCAGCAAATTTTTCTCAGACTACTAGTTGTTTCCACCCTTGTCTTTGTCATATCTTTAACATCCTCTGTAAATAAAAGCTGCATTTGTATCCCCTTTGCATATTTATTGCACATCCCCCCCTTTTATTTGCTGTCTGATGGGTTGGTAAACTGCCTGTAGTTGGTATATTGTGAACAGAAGACTCTGTATATTCTCCCTGCACAGCAACACAGTGACTTTGGAAAAAGTTAAATATTTTGAAGGGAAATACTTCCTGATCCCGTGTTTACATCACCATTTTAACATAGAGTTCAGCTTTGCCAACACATTAACAAAATATTCCCTGTATACTCAGTAAGGTCTATAAGGGCTTCATGCTGTTTTGATCACTAATAAAATAGTTAAATAAACATTAAAGTGTCACACTGTATTTTAATTCTGCTTATTTTGTTTGGGAATGATGGAACTCTTACACAATTTATTGTTAGAATATGTCTTCCAAACTTCCATTGTCTGTCTTGAGCAGCTGTTCTATGTTTGTCCAGAGGGAATGAGGTAAAATGCTAAGTAGACAATTGAAATGGGCTATGTAAATGCAATAGATATGGATGTTGTTTTGTTTCAGGTACATTCTAGATCAGCGTTCGAACCTGCAGAAACCATTTCTGCAGCTGACCCGTTATTGTAGTTCTGTACTTTGCTGTCGAGCCACACCCTTACAGAAAGCCTATATTGTGAGGGTTGTCAAGGAACAGCTCAAAATGAGAACTCTTGCAATAGGTGTGTACAACTTGTTCATATCAATTCTGAAGGCCCATGTATATTCAAATGAGATATACTGGGCTGTTTTGTAGCTTAGATGGTTTGTCACAGGCTTCCCACCATGGTGGCCTGGGTTCAGTATGAGATCAGGTCATATGTGATTTATGACGGACAGAGTGGTACAGGGACAGGTTCTCTCCGATTGCTTCAGTTTCCCCCGTCAGTTCTCATTTCACCAGCTGCTCCATGGTCATTAATTATTCTGTCATCAGTACTGTATAGTCTTGATACTGACAGCATTGTTAAACAAGAAATTCTTGGAAGAACCAATTGCCCACTTTGCTTTGATACAACATGAACCGCATAGAAGACACCTCCAACAATCTTTGTTGCCGCAGGAATGTCTTTACTGAAATGTTACATAGCAATGATAGGAGGATACACAGACTGACATACTCTCTTTTAATAAGACATGGACCACATAGAGAATGATGAGTCCAATAATTATTCTATTGTTGCATATATTTGTTGCCATGGGAACATGTTTGCCAAGCCTTTGCCTAGCACCAAATGGAAGGATGCACTGAACTGAGCTGTTGCCTTGCAGTGATAGGAGGAATATGCATACAGACACACAGACTGATGGGAGAGATTCATCATGTTTGCCACTGAGATGGGCTCATTTGCCATGATACCTATACCAAGTTTCATAGAGATGGTTCAGGCATACAAAAGTTGTTGGGAAGGGGAAACAGACACAGACAGGAGGGAGATTTTGTGAGTCTACTTGAGGGAAGTAGGCTAATAACTAACTACAAAAAGACAAAAGATGTGGTGAATCTGTGTCTTTCTGGTTTTATTTGTATAAGTAACTCAGGAAGTTATCATATTTATGTTTTATTTATGGCAGTGTCAATAGCTCAGAGTGTATAGCATCAAATGGTATGACTTAAGGCCACAATTTGAACCTGGGACATTCTTAGTATGAAGTATGAATTCAATGCACTTGACCTCAATGTTTATTAAGTTTTTTACCACTCAGTGCATAAACTGTGGGTTAGTTGTCATATTTTTATATAGATCATATGAGTGAATTACCATATATATATATAAAAACCACATTTTGTAGATACTATAGGGTTCTGATGATGGTGTATAACACACAGAGATACTGGGTTTTTGGACTTTATCCATCGTCTGGATTCTAAATAACTAAGAAAAAACAACATTTCGAAAACTGGATCTGTTTCCGTCCTCATGTGAGGGAAGACACGTACTATGTTGGGTCCCTTAGAAAGAGGTAGCCTCACAATTCACCGCTGTGGAAAGTTCATTCAAGAAAATCTTCAATGAGCAGGGTCCAGTGATTGAGGCTAGCTCTTTCTAAGGGACCCAACAGAGTGGGTGTCTCCCCTCACCTGAGGACGGAAACAGATCCAGTTTCTGAAATGTTGTGTTTTTTTTAGTCATTTAGAATCTGGATGACAGATCACATTTTGTTTTGCTTATTTTCAGTCCAACAACAGAAGTCCTATGTATACACAGGCCCATCCATTCTATCACACTGAAAACCATTTCAAGTGAGAGTGAGACTTGTAGCTTATGTCACAGAGGTTACCAGTGTTTTATGCAGTGAGTCAGTTTTTTGAGAAATTTATTAAAGAGTTGTTTGAGTCTCATGGGTTTGTAACAGAACAGTACAGACCAAAGTGAAATGTTCCTCACTTATATGGATCCACTAATACTATATTTGATTAAAATTTCATAAATTGTTTTGGAGCTGTGGTTGAACGCAGGCATGATTTCCTCACTATGTTGATCTATTGAATGTCCTCAAAATACAGAATTGCACCAAAAGTTATTTCATATGTGGGCATGGAAAGAGCAAAACTAATATTTCACACACTCTGAACTAGAAACAATATGTTGTTGCAGGTGATGGTGCAAATGATGTCTCAATGATTCAGACAGCGGATGTTGGAATTGGAATTTCTGGACAGGAAGGGATGCAGGCTGTGATGGCATCAGATTTTGCACTTTCAAGGTTCAAATATCTGGAAAGGTTCCTCTTGGTTCATGGTCACTGGTGCTATGATCGACTCTCACGCATGGTGCTTTATTTCTTCCATAAGAATGCTGTAAGTAGATTTTTGATTTGCCCACTTGGTGATCATTGAAATTAATTGATAAAATAGATATGCATTTTTTATCGCAAGTGAATAATTATGCTGCGGGCATGTGGGACCATTAATTTTGCTGCTACAGACCCTATCCTTGTAGTTTCAGTTGTGCCGCGATAGGTTAGAGTGCATGGTCGTGAAGCTGAAACCCTCTGAGGAAGAACTCCAGCTTTGTGCCTTTTGTCTGTAGCAGTAATAGGAGATGGAAAGCTGTTAACCCTGCTTTGAGAAAATACCCCCACACAGGGCTTTCAGGTTCACTTATGTTGGTTCTGATTAAGTGTGGTAACCAGCAGAGATAGTCACTCAATAAAGTCATTTTGCAATTCATGACATCAGTGAGGATATCAGGAGCATAAAACCAGTCTGAAATATTTAAGCTCTGAGGACGATGGGCCACACCAAGTGGTATACCATAAAGAATTGGGTTTGAGAGGTCAGATGCAAATTGGTACTCAAGAAAGAAATGTTAAGATTATGGTGGGAGATATAAAAATAATTTATTAGGATGATTTTGTAGATATACCAGTAAGGCTGAAGCTGTTGCACAGCATATGTGTCATAGTGGGAAGCAGTTTCTTGTTGATTCTGTTCTGTTCTCAGTCCCTGCATGAGGTGAAAAAGGATGAAGAGTATCTTCATAGAAACACAAAATACAGTGATAGAGAGATTAATACTTGGTTTTCAAATGTCTATGAATATGATGATTTTGTGCTTTTATAAAATGTCAGTAAATTAAACAGGCTAAAAAGAAAAAAAAATATATATAAAGCTATACCTGTAACAGACCATAGAGGCCTATAGGGTTGTGGGACATCGAGTAAACAGGCTAAAAAGAAAAAAATATATATAAAGCTATACCTGTAACAGACCATAGAGGCCTATAGGGTTGTGGGACATCGAGTAAACAGGCTAAAAAGAAAAAAATATATATAAAGCTATACCTGTAACAGACCATAGAGGCCTATAGGGTTGTGGGACATCGAGGCTCCCACATTCTGTCTAGACACTTGGCTCACAAATGGTGGTGAGGTTGTCAGCCTTACATGCCCACTGCCCTTTGCCCCCAGGAAGATTCCTGGTATTCATTTCTGTTAAGAGGCCGAGTTGACCCCAGGGCCATAGTGCGCTTGGAAGTATTAGGTAATTGAAAAAAAAATCCACTTCATCAGGACTTGAACCTCAACCAACTATCTTACCATGTCAATTAATGACATTAATACTTGGTTTACAAATATCTATGAATTTAAAGAATTCGTGCTTTTATAAATTCAACATGTAATAAGAATTAACAGAAAAAAAAATTGTTTGGATAATCCAGATAATCCATTCAGGAATACTGGAGAGTGAATTGCAGGTAGAAGACTATGTGCTGTAGATTTTTGCTCACTTAAGTTCATACTAGAGCATGCTGCATATTCAAATATGCTGAAGGTGAGAGTATTCTTCGATGATTCTTTTTTATTTTGCATCCATGAATGATTTATTTTTTGTGTTTTGTTTTACAGACTTCTGTATTTCTTGTTTTTTGGTACCAACTGTACTGTGGGTTTTCTGGATCAGTAATGATTGATCAAATGTACCTGATGTTATACAATCTGCTTTTCACATCCCTTCCACCAGTTGTCATAGGTAAGTGGGGCTCAGTTATGGAAATCTGTATTTGCTTGTAACAGAAGATACAGGATCTCAGTGGTTTCATCTGAGATTTGTGGCCTGAAGGTGGAGAGTAAATCAGTTCATTGTGCTAATATATTTGCTTTTGAGGTTCTAAGCTTCAACTGCTTTGGAGATATTGTCAGAACTTCTCTGTGATTCACTCTCTCTCTATTTGTGGCAAACTTTTGGGCTGGGTGAACTGATGGGTTTGTTACATCAGGATGTTCTTATGGACTACAGCAGTTGTACATGGATTTATGTGACCCCAAAGAATACAGAACGATGTGGAATCACTTGTCAGAGTTTTCTTGTTGCAGTAATGATATATTGCATACATTAGGGAACAAATTGGGTTTTAAGTCATCACTGAAGTGGTTTTTAGTTGTCTCCATATGCCTGTTCTGAATGAATTACAGGCATGAATGTCATATACTCTAACTGACAGCTTTCATTTATCTTGGCTGAACCATTGTGTCTGAAGCCTCCTTTATCTTGTTACTTTATGCATTGAATCCCCCTTTTAAGGTTTCTTTGAGAAGCAGTGGGTTTGTTTGTTAAACCAAGGAAAATCTTAGGTGGAAGACATTAAACACTGAAGTTTAGACCCAGGATGAATGAAATTGAATGTTAATTGAGGAGAGAACATTTTAAATGAAGGAGCATTAAATGAGTATTCCGCTGTAATTGTCATCAACAGTACAAGTTTAAATTAAAACATGGGAACAGCTCCATTTTCATTCATTGTAACATCTTAAAACTTTGTTTGATGGTAGATCTTTAAACCGTGTGTAATTTTTAATAAGGCAGTTTTATTAGGAGATTTGAAAGTAATCCTGTGCTTTTCATGCAAAATGCTTTTATGTATTGATGGTGATTTAGAATTAGTGTGTTGGTATGTTTTAACCATGTGTTCTAGTAGTTATATATGCACATGGTATTAAATCTGAAGTTTTATCCTTTAGAACTCTAAAAGTAAACCATGCTAGTGACATGTACTTCCAATCCTTGCTTGGAATGATTAAATAGTAGTAAATACTCTGATTCTTTTATTGTATAGTATTTAGATGAGTATGAAAGACTAGTATTATGACCAGTGCAGATATGCTGTAGCAAGCTGAAATGGAACCCTACCATTTTTCTCCCCCCCCCCTTTTTTGGAGACATTTTATCCCTTTGTATAGAAGTGGAGTGAATATTAACCACTCTTCATGTTTCTAATTTACAACCTGCCATTTTACTGTCACTTTTCTCATGAGTACCTTTGGTAGGATTTTCTCAATTTAAGCAAGAGAAAGCTGCTTTCTGTTGCACTTTTGTTCTTTGAATCAGGATGTAAAATTCAAACATTCATGAACTGTGATAATTTTTATATAATTGTCATTCACATAATGAACAGATTGAACAAACTGTTGTAGAACTGCACTGTATTGAAATGTTGGAATTTTTATCATATAAGCTCTATGTTCTACATAGAAGACAACAGTGAATATGACCAAGCTGGTTGGTATAGTGGCAGTGCTCAGAATTTGTATTCAGGGGGTCCTTGATTTGAATCTTGGCTATGATGCTGGATATCTGGAATTAGGTGTCTCATGGTTCTCCTGAGTTCCTTGATAGGCTGTGTCCATTCTCTTCCAAACCCTTTCCAATTACTTATTCACCATAATCAATCGTTTGATATTTATAGTCTGAGTTGCTGACATCAGCATACAGGTAACCTCAAAAAGAAAATGCAGTTAATGTGGACTGCTGTGAAAATCTTAAGGCTCATGTGGAAATTAGTACTTTCACGAGGTCCAATGTCAGACTCTTATTGTGATGGTTACGATGAAACTGAAGATTATATAATAACTGAAATGTCTGAAAGGCCTAAATGCATTGACTGCTGAAGTAAGCCAGCATCAAGTGTACAGTATTGAAATTGTGACATGACATCACTAGGCAGTGACCAGTAAACATGTTAAACTTATGCAGACTCTTGTTAAGCAATGGATTCACATGCAGCAGTTAGAAGAACTGCTGGCAGTGGTGTTTTTTATGTCGTCCATGCTGGTGCTATATAACCAGACCAGACTGGTAGTTGATAGCCTGTGGTAGCCAGTGAGTGGACAATCATGGCTCAAACATTGACAGTTGGAGCAATGAGATAATTGTGAAACAGTTGTAAGCCAGCAGTCATACATTGAGGATGTGAGCATGGAAGCACAGGGACATCCACCATTGACATGTGCTACCAAGCAACAATTGCTGAAGACTTAGCAAACAGAGAAGATTTAGTTTGTGCTATAATGGGAAGTAGGTTGCATGAAGTAGTGAGAGCATTATCTGTGAGTTCACTAAATCCAAGTAACAATCCAAACACTTTGTCTAGTCACCTGTGACTATATTATGTGGCCTGCATTTTGTACTGTTCTTTTGCTTCTAGGTGTGTATGATCAGGATGCACCAGAAGAGCTGCTGTTAGCACGCCCGAATCTGTATAGACAAGGTCGTTTAGGTCTAGTGTATAAACCACATTCTTTCTGGATCACAATGGCAGATTCGCTGTACCAGAGCATTGTTATATTCTTCCTAGCTGAAGGGGTGAGTCAGTATTGGTTTCTTCTTAACACTAATTCCCATTAGTCTTCATACATAATATATAGCATAACTAATATTCTCAGCTTGGTGGCAATGCCATTAGGTGAGTTAGGTAAGTGCCATTCAACTGTAGGGTTTTGAAATTTATGTCATGACACCTATTAGAAATTAATGTAACTTTTATTAAAATCATATGTTAGAAATATGGAAATTGACACCATGGATGTTGATATGATGGCAGTAGTTTATCAGTCTTTGTAACTTGCAATGTAAAATTTGTATGAGAATGTGATATGATATGCTGACAGTGCAACTGGTATCAGAACCCTCAAAGGCTAATCATTTGAACCCTAAAGGAAACTGTACTGGAGTGCTTTTGAACACTTGTTCTGTGGTTCATGCTCCACATTTTTGTTACTTGATTTGAGTCTAGTGAAGTATAAATTCGTTGGAGGTCTTGTTCAGTATGTTGTGTCACAGCACATCATGTGATGGCAGTGTCATTTTGCTAAAGGGCTTATCCTGTTTAAAGATCAAGACTATTGAGCATGGAGAGAAAGGAATTTGTGGTATATATGGAAAAGTCCACATGTGGTCTCATTCAAAATAAACTTTCTAATCAGTCAATAAGGCTAGAAGCCATAATGGCTCTTTAGCATTATGCAGAGTTTCTTATATCAAATTTTTCCAAATTTTAATGAACAGTTTACAATATACACAAGTTCATTCATGACCTTATGTAAAGTAGGAGTTGTTGTGGATCAGTATGGCTGAAAATTGAAATAGCCCAACAACTTTGTCTATCTACCATCTGAAATTTTAAAAATCTGTCCAGTTGTTTAGACACTTGATACTGTATCACACATAACAGACAGTCCTGACTTTTGTATAATGAGTTCTTCTTCGCTTTGTAAGGAACATCTGCAGACTGAGGCTATTGGATGAGGTGTATAGAAAAGGATGTTATATATGGGAATTAGCGATTAGTACATCCTACACAGCATTGGCTTGCTTTATATACTTTTATGTATGGCCCTGTGAAATATAAATTCATAAAATGTTATAATATATTTGGCACCTTCAGAACATTCTGACACAGAGACAAATACTTCAGTAATGTTTTAAGACATTGTGTGTGACAGCTTCCAGAAATATTGTAAGTGTACGAAAGTTAGCGGAAGTGTACATCTGTAAGGCACTTGGTATTGCTGGATTCCACCTACGGCTCCTGTCCACAACTTTTTGAAGTTGCTGTGTGTAGTGAATAGTCATCTTCAGTGCTATTTTTCGTAATTATAAATTCAATTTTCTGTTGCAGGCTTACCATGACACAGATGTAGGCATCTGGGAATTTGGGACCACAATAGCTACCTCATGTTTGTTTGTGATGCTATTTCATGTCGCCATTGAAACTAGATCATGGGTAAGCTAGTTTTTATTGTTCTTTGTGATTTATGTGTGCATTGTTAGAGGCATTAGACAAGTTACCATGTTTTGGAGCCTTAGGAGCAGATATATTTCATCCACTTCACAGTTGTAGCCAGTTTCTTCAACTAACACATCTAAGCAGTTATAGATATAGTACATTTATTCTAGTAGTGGTTTTTACCATGTCTGCTTTGTGCACCCTACAAGGACAGGAATTCATATTACTATGTGGCCCAAAAACTCCTGTTATTATCTGAAATATTAACCTATAATTTGATGTGATATTTTAGGCTCTCACAGCAGTGAATATTGAAATTACAATCACTCGAGATGTTATGCCGTCTGCAGTTTAATGTAAGAGCAAAGCATGCCTCTAATGCAATGGGGCTCGTAGAGTTTTTAATGCCGTGAAACACACTTGGTGTGTTCATCATGATACCCCAACCTGTCTTCAGTTTGTTCTTCCAAGAACAGTATATTGTTTCAGAATTAAAACCAAGTATCTGATTTCTGTTATATTTGTCAAGAAGCATATTGATTTCCTAACATATCATTTATACAGTATCTAGCACATTTCAGAAGATTACTTCAGTATCTCACATGTGCACTTTAAGTTTTAATTGCAGGCAGTGAAGGTTAAAACTTGAGTATGAGTGGATTTTGACTTATGTACTTTGGGATCCAGTGGCAGGCTCTTGTATACACACTAATGAACCTTCAGCTTCTATGAAAGGCAGGGAGATCTCCTGACCAGCTGAGTGGTTCTGCTTCATGAGTTAGTCATGAGCAGGCTCTGCCACAGCTCAGGTAGTTAGTCAACACTGTCTCACTCAGGAGGTCAGGTTCAGGCCTATGGTACAATAGGCCCACATGAGGCTGCAGTCCCATTCTTATCAAATCAAAAGATAAAATTATGGATAGCTTTTATGTCTAATATTTAAATCATAAAATGTGCCAGAAAAATCAGATAATCTAAAAAACTATTATTTTCTTTCAGCATGTAAGAGTGGTTATATAGCATTTATAATTCTTTGTGTTTTGTTTATTGCAGACAGTAATTCACGTTTTCTCCATTTTCGTATCCATTGGCATTTACTTTGCCTTCTCGTTAGTGTACAACTCTTTATGTGTGCAATGTTTGAACTTACCAAGTAACTACTGGGTTGTGCAGCATGCGGCAAGTTCAACAACGTACTGGTTGGTTGTGTTCTTGTCTGTGGTCATGGCTCTTATACCAAGGTTTGTATATCATTCACGCTCTGAACATATTTCTCATTACATCATAACTTTCAGGCACTGAAAACCGGTGCAGTATGAATGCACAAGGCCTCATAGGAAAGGGAGACTACTTGGAAGACATGGGCATAGATGGGAGGCTAATAGCATAATAGATCTTAAAGAAACAGGATGAAAGGATATGAGCTTGATTTATCTGGTTTAGAATAAGAACCAGTGGCAGGCTCTTATGAACAATGTAATGAATCTTTTGGTTCCATATCTTGAGTGGCTGAGCAACTGTTGCCTCCTTAAGAAGGACTTCACCCCATTTACTCAGTCTCTCACTCAGTAATATCATTAGTGATGATGAAGAACATAAGGTCTGATGTCTGTACAGGTTTGTGTGGCGGACCATAGAGACGTCTCTTTTCCCCCGTGATGTGACGAAGGCTGTCCTGGACAAAAGAAGAGCTGCTCGCCGAGGTGAGGACTTCCTTGTCTCATGGTCGCGCTCTACTTCCACTTCGTCCATATTCAGGTACGTACATGCACACATACACACACACACACACACACTCCTGCTTTATAGTTGCTTGGCCTGCAGCAAATAGTTTTCCGAGCATAAATTGAAAGAGGCACTTTTTAATTTTCTGCAAAAGGTTATGAAACATTATTGTAAAATTTCATGTCAGTGTGTTGTTCTGAACTGTGCCTATTTTTTAGTTAGCTGAAGAGTGTCACCTCTGTACTTGTAACACAGTTTATGTCCATAAAACATCCAGTTCATTTTCACTTACAACCCAGATACAGACATATGTCTGATATTCTTAACCCTTTTGCTGTGGTATTCGACTGAAGTCCAGTGACTATCTGTTACTGTACAGTATGGCAGTCAACTTTGGTTCATGTCAAGAAATAATCCCCTTTCACAGTGTCATTGAACTCCAGTCACTGGGCAGTGAAATTGAGTTTTTGTTGCATTTCCCCTCCATCCATATTTTTACTTTAGAATTGCATTATTCTTTGAAAATGGTTAGTATGTACTCAGAGGGTTAAAATGTGAGCATCAGTGGTTTCACAGTGTTTTTGAAGTTACACATGTCTGAATATGCTTAAGAAAACAGTCAGAGAGAAATGTGAAGGCAGTTCAGCACCAGTGAAAATTCTATGAAGATCTGAGACACTGGAAGTCTCTACTCATAAGTATGAGTGTTTCACAGTCCATATAAGGAGAATTACGAGGGTCGTACTGAAAGTCATGAGCAACAATTTTTTGTAAAGTAACATGCTTTATTATTGACAAATCAAATACACCACCTCAATCTACAGACTTTTCTTTATTTTTCCACATAATCGCCACTTCTTTGTGCACATTTCTTCCAGCGTTCTGGGAGTTTGAAAATTCCACTTCTGTAAAATTCTGTTACAGCCATCCAAAGACACTGACACACTGCTTTCTGAATTGACTCCCTTGTCTCAAAACGTTGCCCATTCAGCTGATCCTTCACAAATCCGAAAAGATGGTAGTCAGAGGGTGCCAGATCATGGCTATAGGAGGGGTGTGAAAGAACTTTCCACCCCATCTTTGCAATTGCTTCCAATGTGACCTCGTGGTCTTCGGTCAATAACCGCAGGACCCAGTGAGCACAAATTGTCCTATAGCCCAAGCTTTCAATCATCTCCTGTACTGCACTGTGCCCTATTCCAAGTTTTCGGGCTATTGTGTCCACAGTCACACGCCTGTCATCTTGAATGATCTCATCCACTCTTTCCTCGTTGCATTCAGTTGAGGCTGTTCGAGGACGACCACTCCGAGGCTCATTTTGAATGCTGGAGTTCCCATCTTTAAAATGTTTCATCCATCTTTGAACACTGCTCACACCCATGCACACACTTCCATAAGCACGCTGAATTCAGAAAGCAGTGCGTCAGTGTCATCGGAGGGCTGGAACAATTTTACAGAAGGGGAATTTTCAAACTCCCAGAATGCTGGGAGAAATGTGTACAAAGAAGTGGAGATTATGTGGGAAAATAACGAAAGGTCTGTAGATTGGGGTGGTGTATTTGGTTTGTCAATAATGAAGCATGTTACTTTACAAGAAATTGTTGCTCATGACTTTCAGTATGACCTATGTATCAAAAGAGGCTGAGCTGGTTACATATGTAAACTTTAGTGCAGTGGATGTAATGTTTGCATAAGAAACTTCTGTTTAAAGCTTGTGTAATGGTACTAGTGCTAACATTGCAGGGATAGAATGTGAAAAAGCTATGCAATGATAAGTCATACCCATTTTGATAGTGAGAAGATATGTTTTTGTGAAACTTGATGTTCTCACAGGTGTGACTATAAGGAATGCACTAATTTTTGGAGGAATATACACTGACTCTATGTTCAGGGTCAAAGCGTGAGTGAATGAGTGACCCCTGACCTTGAAAGTGGAGACCCTAAATTCCTCCAAAACGTCTGTAAATTTGTACCAGATTACATAATGTCACATTCCAAAAGACAGCATTCTTCAGCTGTATTTTTGTTTGTCATGTTTGTAGTATGACACATTTTATTACATAAATTATTGCCCTATTACATGATTCTGTTAAGCATCATATATTTAGAATAATTGGAACACTGTGTTTATGTAAGGGGCCTATGTTTCTTGCAGAACAATTTTTTTTATTTTCAGTTACAGTCATGTGGAAATGTGCATTGTGCAGTTATTTTGTACCTGTTGTGGCATATGTCACTGTGTAAATAGTGTATGTTTAATATAACATTTCACTGTATAGTTAAAAACATTGTGCATGTATTTCAGTTGTATAAATCTGTTCAGAAGAAATTTGACTTGAAAATTAATTTTTTGTAACTATTTTTTAAATTTATTGTGTCATACCATTCATTTCCTGCAGCTGAATGGTAACATGACCATTGAGACTGGTGGGCTGTTTATTGAAATCACATGCCTGAAGGGTATATCACATATTTATGGTGGTCATGAGCTGTCCTATATTTTCAGGCTGAAAATTTTTAAAATTGTTACATATACATGGGTAAATGCAGAACCTCATTAAGTGCTAATATGGCAGTTACATCTCTTCACTTCACCACATACCAATTGCTGTACAGTCCAAAATGAGCCATAACCCTGTCTCTGACTTTGATGAGTCATTCTGTCAGAACAGGTATATTAGAACTATGTTCTCTGTTCAAAACCAAATGGTAGTGCAGGCCCTGTGATTGATACTGCACTTAAGGGACATTGCTTTTGCCTGAAAGTGGGAGGATGAGGAATTGTGCTCCAGATATTGGGAGGATGCCATGAAATATTGCTCCAGTAGCTTCTCTGAACTTCAAGCAGCTTTCAGAGAACATGCCTTATCCTTCATAAGAGCAATTTATGTTGACACAGTATGCAACTAAAACATACCAAGACCATCAGTATCTTCGTAACTTTAATAGTCAATGAAATAATACTTGCTGTGTGGTTTAAATTAGCTTTGCTCCTTGTTCCCTTGATTTCTGGAGCTTCTTTCTTTAATTTTGATGATACTCACTTGCATTTAGTAGTGTATTCACAATTGATTCTTTGTCTACTTTTGTCTGATGATGTTTTCATCCTGTTTTTTAGAATATTTTTGGCATCTGTGTTAATATGATGTAGAAATAAAGTATATTCCTGTTTACTCCTTGATTTAATACAGTTACATTATGTTTTTGTTCTGCAAGAAATATTTATTGTTTCTGGTACAGAATTTGAATACTTTTCATAAATTTTTGTGGTTAGACTCTTCTGCTAAAATACTATAAGGGCTGTTGGGAAAATGACCTCCAGTTAGCTGTCAACAAAACAAGCAGTGAGAAAAAGATATTTTATTATATACAGAAAAATCTAATACTTAAGCTGCTTCTCAACGTAATCACTGCACTTGTCATATCCAGAAATACGTTTTTGTATGCCTCTGTCAAAGAAGTCTGTCTGTGAGCTCAGCCACATTTTGACACCACATAGCCAGGACCCTGGTCTGAGATCACCAGGAGGTACCAGTGAGCTTCATGAATGCTACCCTTCCTGACAAGAAGCTCAAGAAAGGATCTGTGGCACACTGTGAGCCAGTCATGCTGAACAACCACAGGTGTAAAACCCTCCCCCAGAGTTGAAGGACATGATTACAGGACCCAGTCTGAACCTAAGTGACACTGAATCCTGAGAGTTGGAAGAGCTCCTCACCAAGTATGGAGACATCTTTGCTGTGAAGAGTGATGACTATGGACAGACTGACAGTATACCGCTGTATTGATGTGGGAGAGGCCCAACTGATCCACCAACTCTCAAGGAGTGCCCCCCCCCACACACACACACACACAAAGCAGGTAGATGTGGGTGAGATGCTCAAAGACATGCAGTGATGTGGGGTTATCGAAGAGTCAGACAGCCCCTGGTCATCCCATCCTCATCTGTAAGAAGAACTGGGACCTGCCTAGGCTACAGGAAACTGAACAATGTCATAAGGAAAGACCGTTTTCCTCTGCCTCGGATTCACTGGCTGGAGCCAGCTTGACCTGAAGAGCTGTTGTTGGCAGTGGATTTGCATCCTTATGACAAGGATAAAACTGCGTTCTCGATGGATTAAATGCTGTGGCAGTTCAGCCTCTGCAGCATTCCAGCAACATTTGAGCAGTTAATTGATACCACTGTAACAGGCCTCACAAGTCATGTCTCTTATGCCCGAATGATGTGAATGTGGTTGGTGCCAGTGGAAGCCGCTACCAGGCTATACAGCTAGTGAAGACACATCAGTCTTAGAAAACTTAAGTGTGTGAATTAGTGAAACAGTTAAAATTACTTATAGTGATGGACCTGTAAGAGTTCAATAAATCCATTTACTAATCTAAACCCCTCCTGTAGTCACAAAAATCATGACAATATCAACTTTATCAAAAAAAACTTTTTGTCGTCAATAGAGCTGTTTCATATTTTAGGATTAAACATTTGTCTTTTATCTCATAACTGTGTCAGTATAAATAGTTTGCCTTTACAAGGTATCCCTATTATTAACCCAGGTTAGTGTTCTAGCAGTAACATTTTTAGGTTAGTATTCAAGCAGTAACATTTCTGACAGTTTTCTCACTCTTTGGTTCTACATTTCCTTGTATACTATATAACCAGTATTTAAATACAGAAAGTTCTCAGTAATCAGAGCGTTTTTATGTCGCTTATTTTATAAATGGACATTAGTGTTTAACCATGTGTCAAGGATCATACGTACTTCTATGTGACTTTTAGTTTTCCTGTTACATTTTTCAAAAGCTGCTTTAAAATCATTAATTATGAAAGAATCCATGCCTGCTGATGCCTAAATATCTTCTGTAATTTTGTGCATATGGATAGGAGACTGTGTGATGAGTACCTAGAGAGAGTCTCAAGTAACTAGCCAGACATAGTTAAAGTACTGTCATCTAAAAGTATGATGCTATGTAGTCTGAAAAAGTGTACTGACATTTCATTGGAATATATAGTCCCCATCTTCATTGTTTAAGATTGA